TCCTGCTTGTATTTATTGTTTGTAATAACACACACACACACACACACACACACACACACTTTGTTTTGAAAGTTTTGCCCCATTCAAATGAATGGGGGAAATTCTACTTCAGTATAATTTCAGCTATTTCAGGTATCAAAATGTTCAGCTCCTCAAGGGCATTCATGTTTCTCTTCGGGATTTTTCTAAACTTCATACCTTTGAAATATTTAGCTTTATTTTGAAAATCTTGCCCCATTCAAATGAATGGGGGAAATTCTACTTCAGCATACTTTCAACTATCAAAATTTTCAGCTCCTCCAGGACATCCATGCTGCTATTCAAAATTTTTCTAAACTTCATCCTTTTAAAATATTTAGCTTTATTTAGAAAGTTTTGCCCCATTCAAATGAATGGAAAAATTCTACTTTAGCATACTTTCAGCTATCAAAATGTTCAGCTCTTCAAGGACACCCATGCTTGTCTTAAGGGTTTTTCTAAACCTTATACCTTTGAAATATATAGCTTTATTTTGAAAATCATGCCCCATTCAAATGAATGGGGTAATCCTTCTGCATACTTTCAGGTATCAAAATATTCAGCTCTTCAAGGACATTCATACTTCTCTTCAGGGTTTTTATAAACCTTATACCTTTGAATTATTTAGCTTTATTTTGAAAGTTTTGCCCCATTCAAATGAATGGGAAAATTTGACTTCAGCAATCTTTCAACTATTTCAAGTAGCAAAATGTTCAGCTCTTCAAGGACATTCATGCTTCTCTTCAGAGATTTTCTAAACTTCATACCTTTGAAACTGAGCTGTATTTTGAAAATCTTTCTCCATTCAATTGACTGAGAAAATTCTTCTTCAGCACACTTTCAGCTATTTCAAATATTTAGCTTTATTTTGACAGTTTTGCCCCATTCAAATGAAAGGGGAAATTTTACACTCAGCATACTTTCAGCTCTTTCAGGTGTCAAAATGTTCAGCTGCTCAAGGACATTCATGCTTCGATTCAGAATTTTTCTAAACTTCATACTTTTGAAATATTTAGCTTTATTTTGAAAATTTCCCCCCATTCAAATTAATGGGAAATTTGTACTTCAGCATACTTTCAGGTAGATATGGCTTTCAGGTGTCAAAATGTTCATCATTTTATTAACAGGTTCAGCATACCTTCAGCTAGAAAAGCCATTCAGGTATCAAAATGTTCAGCTCTTCAAGGCCATTCCTACTTTATTGCACCTCATCCTTCAGATTATCCAACAAAGAACTTCAGCCATTTCTTCTCAACTATTTCAACAAAGAACTTCAGCCATTTCTTCTCATCAATCTTTCAGCTTATCAGCATCCACATGCATTTATGACAGGAAATGCATTTCTCTAGTCTAAGCTTGCACTCTGTTTAACCTTATTATTTTTGCCATTTTTTCTCAGTCTAGAAACCTGAAATCTTCACTACTACTGCTTTGTTGATATGCTAAATATTTAACGTGCCACTTGTTTGTTTACACATCACAAGTGCTGGGATTTAAATGCACAAACAAAGGAAGCTGAGACATGAACTGGCATATCCAGGTCTGATGTTTGTTCCTATAGTACCAGTGTCTGTCACAATAGGTTTACAGTGCCACTTGCAGTGTGGCAACTGTAACCATCAAGTGGTTTTGAAATGCAGACTGTACCTTGTGAAGGCTAAAATTGCAAACCCTTAATTCGACAAAGCGAACAAATTGCAAAAGTTAAGTTTTTAATTGGTGAAAAACAACAAAATACAATTGTGAAGTTCGCAGACGACACCATCGTAGTGGGTTTCATCTCAGACAATGATGAGTGTCACTACAGAGACGAGATCCAGCACCTGACAAGGTGGTGTTCAGATAACAATCTTGTCCTGAATGCCAAGACTAAGGAGGCCATTGTGGTTAATAGGAGGTCCAGGAAGACAAACCATGCTCTATGACAGTGCGGTGGGTAGAGCAGTCGTCTCCCAACCGGAAGGTTGAAGGTTTGAATCTCGGGGCCTGCAATTTACATGTTGAAGTGTCCTTGGGCAAGATATTGAACCTGCCCCTGATGGTTAGAGCCATCGGTTGAGTTGGCGCCGCAGATGGCTGCTTTGGTTCTGTACCGGAAACAAATTCCTTGTGTATAACATACTTGGCCAATAAAGGTCCTTATCCTTCTCATAAATGGGGAAGTGGTGGAGCAAGTGGATAACATCAAGTTGCTAACATGCTGCTGACCTCATTAGGTCCCATACGTCGCTTTTTATTTGCTCATAGTTTTATATTGTGTGTATACAATTGTGTGTTATGTAAATAATGTCTTTTAAGCCGAGAGCTGCCTGAAAAAAATTTGTGCTATGCATAATGACAATAAAGATTCTTGATTTGACTTTGAAAACAACCATTTTGGAATGTTTTAGTGTACCTGTTTTTCTGCAGCAGTGAACAAAGGTAATGGATGTTGACAGGAGACATGCCCTGCACCCCAGAACCATATTATGTAGATGCTGATCTTCCAAACTATCCATTAGAGCTGTTGCGACCAGGGCTCATGGGCTTCTTTGCCACAGACTTGAGGCAGTTTGGTCATAATCATCTCAAACCAAACTCAATCCAGCGAGGCATGAGGAGTGTAGTCGCTTGTACCAGACACTCCCTTTACCTGGTGGTTCTAAAGCTAAACACACGTCAAACAGGAGTTGAAAAACCTTGTTTTTTGTACAAACTTAAGGGTGTGGTTTGACTCTGATAGTGTTCTTGTTGTTAGCTTAAATGATACAAAACTCTCTTTGAATTATTTTCTTATGTTTGTTATGTTATGTTTGCAGGCAGCACAGCAGGGCAGTGGTTAGCGCTGTCGCCTCACAGCAAGGATAAGCAGGAAGGGAGAGCTGTTCAGGGTGTGTATAGAGCTTAAGAACCTGCTCAAACTTGCTGGCAGGGTTTTCATTCATTGAGATTATATAGTATGAACAATGGCAGTGAAATGGAAAAACGTCCACAACCCTTAAATGAAAGGTGATTTCTGAACAACGCTGAGGAAATTTGATCATGTAATGAAGGCTATGAGGGTGACAATGTGTGTTAAATGACTCTGTGTACATTTAGATGATAAGCTTTGGCTGTGCTTTGGCAAATGCTCACAGTATTTACTGTACTGTGGAGGCCTAGCACTGACATTACATCTGGTACAACAATTGAATCATAATGGTCAAAAGGGAGGCGTGACCTTTAAATCAAGAAGCTCACAGCAGCCTTTTTTTGTTGTCTTCCATAGAGACGCCGGGAGTTCTTTCAGGCCAGTTTGATGAATATGGGAATGGAGCTGGAAGCCACACAATCTGTAAGCAAATTACATACAAGTCTTCGCAAGATGGTGTTTCTCATCTTGTCTTTTCTACTTCAATAAAACTCTGTGCTCTGCAGGTATTAGATGAGAAACTGATGTTTGTGAAAGTCCACATGCCATGGGACACGCTATGCACCTATGCAGAGGTCCTGCACATCAAGCTCCCTATCCAGCCCAGTGACATGTCCTCTCAGGCATCCCCGTGGCACTTTTTATCCTGCATCACCAAACACTTTTACCCCAATGAAAAGATGATCAGCAAGGAGACCGAGTACTTCACTGCCCCCTTTGAAAAAGACCGTCTGGAGTACTTCTACATAAAGGACAAGGATATCTTCTTCGCTCCATCCGTGAGAAGCAGGATGGCAAGTTTTAACATGTTGTTGCAGTCGATTCAGGCTGCCCGCAAGTTCTTTTGATTTGTTTCCTTTTGGGAATGGCATTAGTCTAAAGGTCTCAATAGATCAAATGATTTTATAAATGTAAATAATAAGAGCAGCTCAAGAAGAACCCTGTTGAAGGTAGAGAAATGATTTTGTCTATGCTGATTGTGTTATTTAGTGTGTGAACTGATCAGCAGCATAAAGATAACTGGACCATAAGTATGTTTTTCTTTTCTCAGGCAAACTACATCCTGAGTCGTGCCCCTTATGAAATAAGAGGAAATATAAAAAAGTTTGGCATCAACAAACTTCTGGATGGAGGAGTGTACAAAGCTGCCTATCCCCTCCATGATGTAAGTGGGTCTGTTCTCTATTTTTTGTATAGTTAAATACAAACTGAAGTATTTTTGTGGCGTTAGTATTACAGGATAGGAGATAATATTGTAATGTGTATATGGAAATATGGTCTGTTGTTTTGGAATTTTCAGTGCAGGTTCAATGTCAAGTCCAAAGAGGCGGGCTGCCCTAATGAGAGATTTCTGCTCTACCATGAATGGGCTCATCCGAAAAGCTTCTACAAGATGCAACCGTTTGACCTCATAAGGTGAACACAAGCTTTTATTTTCTTTTCACCAAAATTATCTTCAATTGCTCTTTGATGATGGTGTTTTATTTAATCTTAAAATGAAAATTATTTGCCCATCTGTCCATAAAAAGGTGTGAGTGTTTGCCTGTGTTCAAGTTTCTAATGTTGATGTTGAAGTTGATGACCAGTGAACAATAGAGCCACAGTCCCCCAATCCTAATGTGCACACTCACAGCCTCACAGATACTTAGTTAGTGAGGGCTCAGGGCTGTTCCACTGTGAAATCATCAAGTGCATGAGGGCTCTCTCGCCTTCAATTTGAGCCCTTAATGCTCACTTTCCGTAAATTGGCGTTTCTGCAGATTTTACCTGAGCGAATTCCCCACAGTTCATTGCGTTGTGACGTGAAACACAGGATTAGCCTATCCAAGGATGGCTAGAAGTGTAAAAAAAAGGTAAACAAATGCCATAAAATGAAGTAAAGGAAAATAAACTAGAAAATTGCGTTTTTTTTTAAGAAAATGCTTATGGATGCTGAGTGCTGAAAGATCGCCCTGAAAATGCTGAACATTTTGACACCTGAATGGTTTTGCTAGCTGAAAGTATGCTGAAGTAGAATTTTCCCATTCATTTGAATGGGGCAAGATTTTCAAAATAAAGCTAAATATTTCAAAAGTATGAAGTTTACAGAAGCTCTGGATAGAAGCATGAATGTCCTTGAAGAGCTTAACATTTTAATAGCTGAAATTATGCACAAGTAAAAATTTCCCTATTCATTTGAATGGGGAAAGATTTTCAAAATAAAGCTGAATATTTTAAAAAGTATGAAGTTTAGAAAAATTCTGAATGGAAGCATAAATGTTCTTGAAGAGCTGAACATTTGGATACCTGAAATAGCTGAAAGTATGCTAAAGTAGAATTTCCCCCATTCATTTGAATGCGGCAAGATTTTCAAAACAAAGTTAAATATTTCAGAAGTATGAAGTTTAGAAAAATTATGAATAGCATGAATGTCCTTGAGGAGCTGATCATTTTGATAGCTGAAAATATGCAGAAGTTGAATTTCCCCATTCATTTGAATGGGGCAGGTTTTTCAGAATAAATGCTAAATATTTTAAAAGTGAAAGGTGTAAAAAAAAATTGAATACATGCCATAATGTCCTGAAAAACCGGAACATTTTGATACCAGAATGGTTTTTCTAACTGAAAGTATACTGAGCTTATTAAGATGTGAACATTTTCTGATTGGTCCCCACAAAGTATGTAAAGCAAGTAGGGTTGTGTGCGTGAGTGTTGGGGGTGTAGGTGTTCATGTGTCTGTGTGTGTATGAGAAAGAAAGGATATTCCTACCCACTGAGAAATAATAGAGTGTGGCTATTGAAATGAGACATAAAATGTAAATGTATTTATGCAAAAACCATAAAAAAATCAAAAAGCTGTTTATGGTATGAATAGCTGAAGAGTTGCTGAATAATTATTATTTGAAATTGTGGTTTTAGCTGAAGGTATGCTGAAGATATTAAGATGTGAAAATTTGTCCCATTCATTTTCAATGGGTAAATTTTTGTGAAAAAAGCTGAGTTTATGAAAAAGTATGAAAGTCATAAAAAAAGTTGAGTACACGCCATAATGTCCTTAAAAAGATGAACAATTTGATACCAGAATGGGTTGTCTAGCTGAAAGCATGTGGGAGGAGATGAGCGGCAAAAAATGTACGGAAGAAACTATAATAATAATTATAAAAATGGAAAACAAGAGTGTGGCTGCACAGCATCCACACAATAATAATATTAAATAATTGGATAACATAGTACGGATGCTGAATCAGCACTTCTTGCACTTAATCACTTACAGGCAGGGGTGCCGCTAGTAGTTTTGGGCCCTATGAAGGGGCTTGAGACCTTAGGAGGACATTGGCATTAAGGCTAGTTTACCAGTAATTTTTGTTTTCCCACAGGAAATATTATGGGGAGAAGATTGGCATTTACTTTGCCTGGTTAGGTTTCTACACGTCAATGCTCGCTTGGGCTGCTGTTGTGGGACTAGGTTGCTTCATTTATGGATACAAAACTCAAGAAAGCAGCACATGGAGGTATGCAGTATACACTTCCTTAAATGCCCCCAACATTTTTGAGAGCATGTAGATAAACTCATTGCATTTATGACCTTATTATACATCATTATTTTAATTAGTGTAGTGTTCATTCTTGAACCTTGGAAATAGTAGCTCAAAAAAAAAAAAAATCAAGACCCACTTGCTACCTTTTTCCAGCACTTTCAGTCACTTCTCACAGTCTTCATGGGATGATGGAGTTTGCTCAGTCAGCGGTATTATTTTGCAGGACTGGTTATTTAAAGTGCAGCAAGTCTGTCTGGCCTGCACAATTTTTCTTTACAGATTTTTCATTTTATAGACTTCTGTGTCTCTGTTCTGCAGCAAAGAGGTGTGTGACCCTGAGATTGGAGGACAAATAGTGATGTGTCCACAGTGTGATGAGTATTGCAAATACTGGAGGTTAAACACCACATGTGAAGCGTCAAAAGTGAGTGGTATTTTATTTCAGCATGGAGAAAACATGAGTATGTTACAAATTCACCCAAAGAACCCTTTGGTTATATCCTCTTAAAATGTAAGATTTTGCAAGCAAAGGACTTCTAAGCACAGTATTTACTGTATTATAAAAAGTGCCATTATAGCCACAGTGAGTGTTGAATTTAGCGTTAAGTGTGAACTTTTAGTTTGTGATGATCAATTGAAACTTGGAACAGGTAGTTCGCACTGCATCACTGCACAATGCAGTTACAGACTTTACATATAGAAATGTGGCACAGCAGCGGTATAGAAGATGAATAAATGAAATGTGGCACAGCAACAGTCAGGTAAGCCAGATAAAACTGTGACAATGTAATGTTCCTTTTTTCTAGAACCTTTGCATATTCGATAACTTTGGAACCCTAGTATTTGCAGTTTTCATGTCAGTCTGGGGTAAGTTATATATCTTTAACATATTTTTCATTTCAGAATATTCACACAAAGCACATGCAGACATGCTGACATCCCCAGTTTAGCCCCAAGATGTATTTATGACTGATAATTTGAATTGTCCATTTAGTCTTTTTTGGTAGTATTAGAGGCATTACACAGTTTACACTACAAATGTTTATGGAGGAAGACACAGACAATACTATGAACTTGGTGTTGTTTCCTTATTTTTTATTGTCACTGTACTCATTTCCTGTTTCTGTCTATTTCTTGCTTGTAGTAACTTTGTTCCTGGAGTTTTGGAAGCGTCACCAGGCGAGGCTGGAATATGAGTGGGACACTGTGGAGTTTCTTGAGCAGGAAGAACAGCCTCGACCAGAATATGAGGCCAAGTGTATCTATGAGAGGAAAAACCCTGTCACAGGGGTAAATCACACACATGCGCTTTCTTTTATTGTATTTTATTAATTTTGCAGCTAGTAATGTATTTCATAGTTTTGTGATCATAGAAGTAACATGTTTGAAAATATGAAGTTTTATGGAAAAAGTGTACACTTTGTGGAAGAACTACATTCACATAACACTGATGTTAAAACCCAGTATTTCATAATGTTTGTTTGTGATGTAGGTGAAAGAAAAAGTGCCCTATACAAAATGCGGACGATGTGTTCGGGTGTCATTAGGAACGGGTACAGTCCTATTCTGGGTAATGTAAATAAATAATTTATTATTTCAGTTTATTTTATTTATTTATTTTGTTGGTCTGCAGTTCCCTCACAATGGGCCTAATTCACCAATCTTTTTTTAAGAACAAATTTCTTTGTAAAACCCATTTACAAAGTTTTCACAAAAACTCACCATTGTTTTTTTTAACTGGGATCTGTTCTGAGGTAAGAACAGAATCTATGCACACTCAGGAGCACACTTGTGCACAGTTCCACAGTTTTTGTCGTTTATATCTTATAACATTATATAACAGTTTTGTCAGTATTAATATTTAAAATAATTTCCCACTATTTTACAAAGCATTATGGTGCTTAAATGATGCTCTCATTACATCACCATCTTGGCCTGCCAGGCTCCATATGATGAAATGAATAAACACTACATTGAAAATTACAAAAAGCAATTAATTGCTTGTTTATAAATCAAGGTTTTAAAATTTATTTAACTTTTCCAGTGTGATTATTTGTAGCTTAGAAATTTGAAATGCATTACTTAAAAACCAAACATGTTGAATTGCATATTTTTATCTCTGATTTCTGTGTCTCTCGGATATTTTGGTCAGTGTTGAGGCCGTCTGTCTAAGTGTTTGCTTGTCCAGCACCGCATCTGAGATCAGACTCAGGGCAGTTGAAGTTCGCATGGAGGTCTGCTCAGCTGATGGCACTCCCGAAAGTTGTATGGCCCCAATGCGCTGTTTGTTTTGTTGCCTCAAATTGGAGATCAAACCATTATTTACTTCATCGGTTGTGTGCCCTTCATCTTATACAGTGCTCACTAAATGAGCAAGAGCATCCCATGCATCTTTTTTGTTTGATTTTATATCCATTACTGACCCTACTAAATATGGCAGCTCATTTGCTGTTCTCCACTTCATAACTACTCGAGTTTTTTTTTTTCAGTTTGGCGTTCGTTGCTCCAACATCTTTAGATTTTCTCTGTAGCATTCCTGGCTTTCTAAGATTCTCTTTTCCATTTTTATATGAGATGTGTGCACAAGGCCCTGCAGTCTCATGCCCTTTTATGGGCATTGTTGTGGCGCTAACCTGTGCTAATTAGGAATGACTGGCATGCACTTTCATCTTAGGAACACGTGAGATTCATCAATATAAGAACACAGGTGCAAACACGTTCATGAATCAGATGTAGACTTTTCTTAGGACCTTTCTTAAGAACAACATGAACAAATTTAAGAAAACACTTAGGAAGATGGTGGTGAATGAGACCCATTGTTCTATGAAGTTTTTATAAAGAAATATAGAATTTGGTACTCATTGTAGGGGAATTCCAGATTTTTTGAAAGTAAAGGTAATTTAAAACCAGTGTAAATATTCCTTCATTTGGCATTTATTTTTGCAAACATAGCTTTCCATGTATAGTGAATTGTATGCTTGCATGTATACAGATAACTTGTGTTTGCAGGTTCAGCACAATACCTATGCATTAATTTACAAAACTGTACTTTGCCTTCCAGATTATGTTGATCTTGGCATCCATTGTGGCCATCATTGTCTACCGCCTGGCCGTCTTCATTGCCTTCTCAACTAGCCTCAGAGCTCAGGGGCCGAAAGAGTTGGAGCCGCTAAAGGAGTACGTGACACCTCAGATGGTCACTTCTGTCACAGCCTCCGTCATCAGCTTTGTCATAATTATGATCCTCAATATTCTCTATGAGCGAGTCGCCATCTGGATCACTGACTTTGGTGAGTTTGAATTGTCCTTCTGAACTTTCCTGACTGAATGTGGTTTAATCCCAAACCCTTTTCTTATCTGACACACAACACCAGAGCTTCCACGGACAAGGACTGACTACGAGAACAGCTTAACCCTGAAGATGTTCTTCTTTCAGTTTGTCAACTATTACTCCTCATGTTTCTACATCGCCTTTGCAAAAGGGAAAGTAGTGGGCTATCCTGGAAAACCTGTCTATTTCATGGGGAAATACCGCAACGAGGAGGTACTGCTTGTTCATCTGGGTGTTCATGTTTAACTTATTAATTTGATGTTCTTGTCTCTTAATGTGTGCTTTGTTTCTGCAGTGTGACCCTGGTGGTTGTCTGCTTGAGCTGACAACTCAGCTCGCTGTCATCATGGGTGGAAAAGCTATCTTGAACAATGTCCAAGAGGTCTTGATACCGTAAGCAGGCAGAATCTAAGATCTTTTTTTGTCAAATATTTTAAAAAGTAACATTAAAACAATGACAACTTAGATGCAGCCTGTCTCCATGACAGTAAATATAGGTGAATTTTCTGGGCTAATAATTACAGTGCCTTGCGAAGGTATTCGGCCCCCTTGAACTTTGCGACCTTTTGCCACATTTCAGGCTTCAAACATAAAGATATAAAACTGTAATTTTTTGTGAAGAATCAACAACAAGTGGGACACAATCATGAAGTGGAACAAAATTTATTGGATATTTCAAACTTTTTTAACAAATAAAAAACTGAAAAATTGGGCGTGCAAAATTAATTCAGCCCC